TCGATCATTCTTGAATCATTTCCAGGTCATTCTGAATCTTTAATATGACTCGGGAACGATGAGTCCTCTCAAGGAGTGATTCGTTCATTTGCAGAGGCCAGGGCTGGAGTTGGAGTCTTTTTAAGCCCTGGAGTTTCAAGCCTCAGACCGGCCCACCTTAGTTCACGACTGACTATATTAAAATAAGGTCATTTCCAATTCAGTTTCTAATGACACTATCACGTCTTTTTTTAAGAAAACAGCTGTTTTAGAACTTCAAATGTTCAACAACCCTTACAGTATTATATGTCTTAACAATAAAAATGAAAAAAAAAAAAAACTTATTCAGACGAGGATCAAACCCGTGTAGGCGGCGTCGTAATCTAACGTGCTAACCACTAGACCACATCAGTTGTAGATTAAAAAGTTGAGTTATATCATCATTAACCTGCAGGATGGTTATATATAAAAAGAGCAGAGCTGTGGTAAATAATGAATAAGAAGACTGTGGTCAAGTAAATAAATAAATTAATTTAAAAAGTGTGACTGCTGAGAGGAACAGATTCTGGAGCTAGAGACACCGGCCCTTGCGGCCAAAAAACGGCCGGCCCACCGGGAATTCTCCCGGTCCTCCCGATTGGCCAATCCGGGTCTGGCAGAGGCACACATTACACAGGTGGAGGAGAGGATTACCTAGGATTAAAAGAGTTTTATGTCGGGTTTGAGTCATTCGTTCTTTAAGTGAAAGATTAAAGCCTGTCCTGAAAAAAGTGTTGCATGCAGAACTGTTGCAAACAATTAATTTGTGTTGAATTTAAACAATCAAATTAAATTGAATAATGTTCAACTTAATTTGTTTGTTTAAATTCAACACAATTAAATTGTTTACAACCACTTAACATTAAAAAAATGAGTAAATCCAAGGAATAATCTTTGAATAATTTTTTTCAGTGATGCAGTCAGAAGCAGAATAAGGTTTGATTCATTCATATCTAAATCTTGAGGTTTGAGTCGTTCAACTCATTACTGAAATTAGTAATTGATTCCAAATCCTCTAAAACTGGGTGCATTATTATTAATATGGTATTTTTCATGTGATGTTTCTGTTTCTGATCTCAAATTGAATCGGAGATTCTGTCACGCTACTTTTCTGTAATACTGAATGTGGTAACCAGTGTTTTTAGTTTGTTATTTAAGAGATAAACTAATCATTTCAATTTAATCTTTCACATGATAAACAAAGACTTTTTTGGGTTTTTGATTCATCCGTTCATCAAGTGAAAGATAAAAGCCAGTCCTATGCAGTCAGAGATAGAAAAAGATTTGATCTGTTCATAGATTGAATTCTCAGGTTTGAGTTGTTTGTCTCAGTATGTGACTTGACAGCAAGAGTAAACATAAAAATAGTAATAGTAGATTCCAAATCGTTTAGAAATGGGTGCATTATTATATATTAGTATTATTATTACTATTATTTACATTTACATTTAGTCATTTAGCAGACGCTTTTATCCAAAGAAGGACTATTATTATTATGATTATTATTATTATTATTAATATTATTATTGTTATAGTCTTTTTCGTGTGATGTTTCTGTTTCTGATCTCAAACTGAATCAGAATTTATGTTGTGATTCTTTTCTAAAATACTAAATGTGGTAACCAGTGTTTTTGGTCAATAACTTAAGAGATAAACTAATCAATTTAATTTAATCTAATCTTTCACTTGATGAACAATAGATGTTTTTGATTCATTCGTTCATCAAGTGAAAGACATAAGCCTGTCCTATACAGTTGCAGAATAAGATTTGATTCGTTCATATCTCATATCCTCAGGTCTGAGTCGTTCGTCTCTTGACAGAAATTAGTATTGATTCCAAATCTTTTAGAAACGGGTGCATTATTATTATTATTATTACTATTAATATTATTATTATAGTTATTATTATGGTCTTTTTTGTGTGATGTTTTTGTTTCCGATTTCAAATTGAATCAGAATTTATGTCGTGATTCTTTTCTAAAATACTAAATGTGGTGATGGTGTTTTTGGTCTGTTATTTAAGAGATAAACTAATAATTTTAATTTAGTTTAATTTAGTCTTTTACATGATAAACAAAAGACTTTTTTGAATTTTTGATTCATTCGTTCATCAAGTAAAAGACATAAGCCTGTCCTATGCAGTTACAGAATAAGATTTGATTCGTTCATATGTCAAATCCTCAGGTCTGATTCGTTCGTCTCTTGACAGAAATTAGTATTGATTTCAAATCTTTTAGAAACGGGTACATTATTATTATTATTATTATTATCATTATTATTATTATGGTCTTTTTCGAGTGATGTTTCTGTTTTGGATCTCAAATTGAATCAATATTTCTGTTGCGATTCTTTTCTATAATACTGAATGTGGTCATGGTGTTTTTGGTCTGTTATTTAAGATATACTAATAATTTTAATTTAATTTAGTCTTTCATGTGACTTTGAGTTTTTGATTCATTCGTTCATTAAGTGAAATAAAAAAGCCGGTCCTATGCAGTCAGAGAAAAAGATTTATTTCGTTCATATCTCGAATCCTCAGGTTTGAGTCGTTCGTCTGTTTATAATTGATTTGAAAGCAGGATTGGACACAAAAATAAGTAACAGTAGATTCCAAATCCTTTACATATGGTTGCATTATTTATTATTAGCCTATATTTATTATTGTTATCATGTATGTTATTGTGTGATGTTTCTGTTTCGGATCTCAAATTGAATCAATACATTTTGTTGCGATTCTTTTCTATAATGCTGAATATGGTAGTAAAGTATTCGGTCTGTGTATTAAAACTTTATCTGTATGATGGAGAGATAAACTAATCATTTTGAATAAAATATGATTCAACAAATCAATCACAGCATAACTAAATAGGTTATGCTTACGCTTCTGTCACAAAATGAACAAATGACTCAAAGTGTGAACTATAACGGCTCTTTTCAACTCGCATGTAAACTCTGGTTAATCTTATATGGGACTTACTTGAGTCACTTGAACGAACAACTCATACTAAAATACTTGACGTCAAATAAGAGATGAGCTGAGCTAATCATACACAAAAGACTATTAATGAGTCTTTCCTCTTTTTTAGCATTTTAGTTCTTTGTAGTGTGATCAATGTTTTTGCTAGTTGTATGTGTTTGGGAATCAACTCATTTTAGTATTTTGGCAAATTGACTCAATGGGCCCTATCATACACCCGGCGCAGTGTGGCGCAAGGCGTGGCGCAGTGGTCTTTTGGTAGTTTCAGCTTGGCGCAAGAGTGGTTTTGAGGCGTTGCGCTACGCTGTTTAAATAGCAAATGCATTAGCGCTCATATGTGCGCCCATAGGCGTTCTGGTCTAAAAAGGAAGGCTTTCTGAGGCGGACCGCTGGCGCGTTGCTATTTTGAGAAACTAAAATAGATTTTTCATTAGACCAAAACTAACCCGGTCTAAACTCCAGCGCAGTTTTGCGCCTCGCTTACACACTGCTTAATACACACAAGAGAGCAATAGGCAAATATCTTTACATATGAAAAAAAAATTATATTAAGGATATATATAGGATATAATAAGAATAGATATAGAATATAAATATAAAGAATTAAAATATTACAAAACATATTATTTTCTAGCCTACATAAATATGAAAAATCCCTGCTTTTATGTCTTCTTCATCTCGGGAGGCTTTTTAAGTTCATTCATAACAATTTGCTTTTGTATAATGTTATTATTATTAGCAGTATTATTTATTATATCCATATTTATATTTGTTTTATTAAAAACAAGCTTAGATTTGCCCACCTGTCAGGTTTTAGACCATATGGGGCACAGCATGTGTTTTAGGATGTAACTCAGGTTTTTGAGCACATTTTGTTATTGTTGTTCATTTATTCGTTTGCTGGAAATTAGAACTGAATTTAGAAATAGTTTTGAAACGAATATTTGTGCTTAACAAACAAAAGTATTTATAGACTAATTGATGTCTGTGCTTAAAGGTTTCCCTATCCAAGAGCAAAAGTGAAAGTAGATCCATTATCTCTCATTCTCACGCAGTAGATGCTCTGTTTAACTGTTTTCTGTTAAAAAACTGTCAACTGTTTGCTTGTGAAATGCTAATTTTTTCCACTTAGACTTACTTTGCGTCCTGTAAATAGCGAATGCGCTCTTGGCGCGACGCACCTGACTCTTAAAGGGAATGGGAGATGAGACTGTAATTGGTTTATTCTTAAAACACACCTATAACTCATTAAGAAAATAAACTCAACCCTTTTAGACCATGCGCCGAAGCGCAAGGCAGATTTCCCGTCCTTAAATTAGCAAAAACGCATTCTGACACGCCCTGAAAGCGTTTGCGCCCTGCGTTTTGCGCTTTGCGCATGGACCGTCAAAATAGAGCCCAATGAATCAATCGCAGCTTAGACTCAAATGGTTATGCTTACGCTTCTGTCACATAATGAACAAACGAATCAGACTCAAAAGGTGAACTAACGGCTCTTTTCAACTCAAATGTGAGCGTTGGTTATTCTTACACGGTACTCACTTGAGTCACGACTCAAACTTGAAGACTTGACCTCAGATAAGAGATGAGCTGAGCTAATCTCAGGTAAACAATCAATGATTGTTTTTCTTTCTTGTAGCATTATAGCTCATTTGTAGTGTGATTAACGTTTGCACTAGTTGTTTACATATTTGGGAATAAACTCATTTTAGTATTTTGGAAAATTGACTGATTCGTTCATCTCAAAGTACAAACTTCCCATCATCTCTAACGCCTCATTCACACGGGGTTTCAGCGTCAACTCTTGACTGAAGGCGTGCCTGAAGTTGGGGCTGAAGCGATCGTCATAGACACGTCAGCCAATGAAATTCAGTCAGCAATAGGCCACTGTCTAGCTGGTGTATTTGCATACAGCGATCTGATTGGCTGACGCTTCTGTCTGCGCTTAAAAATTTTGAGCTAGTCCCAACTTCTGCAGCGAGTAACGCCTTTGACGGATCCACAATGCAGTTCGGCAACGCCTGACGTCACCCATTCAAAGTGAATTGGAAGCGTTGACGCTGACGCCCCATGTTAATAGGGCGTAATGTTGTAAGAATACAGTGACGTTGGCCAATAGATATTCCAATAAATGATTCCTGAGTCACAGGACATGTCTAGTATTGAGGATGTTTCACCTCTTTGACGATATTTAATTTGTTCTGTGGTCATAAAGACGTCTCGACGCATGATCCGTTCCTGTGGAAGGATCGGTGATTGGGACAGCTCTCGCTACAATGAACAATGAGCACAGGGAAGTACAGAGCGTCCTGATAGGGCGGTGGGTCTTCTTCATCCGCGTTAATCCGTCCAGACAGACATCTCGTGTTCTCGCTGGGACTTTCGGGTTCATCCAAACTTCCGCTTCTCCAAAAGCAGCTTCGACGCGATCCATACAGTCTTCCCAAAGAAAAGCGACTCCCGCTGAAAGGGATCCGTGGACTGCCATTGCAAATGCTGAGAGCGCTTCGGGAAAACACAGAAGAGCTGCTGATAGCCCGATGGCAGCGTTCGCAATTCTGGCGAACACCTCCTGAACGCTGCGCTAGATCCATCAGTCCTGCTTCAGAGTAGCTTGGCACCAACTGCTGGTTAGATCGGATGTGCCACTCTAATTCGGTGCTGTCGATGGTGTTGACTCTTGGGATTCGTCTACAGTACGGTCTCTCGTCACAGGGCGTCACAGCAATGTAGTCTGCACCGAAAAGTTTCTCCACACGGTAGTGAACGTACGCCGTACGATATTCTGTGAGCACCCTTAACGGCCAGGATAAGGTTAGAAATGCTGCCGTCCAGAAGACGTAGTTGGACACGTACCAAGGATGCTTGTCAGGATTGGAGAAGGCAATCATGTACTCTTTGAAATCGACATTTTTAAGGTGCATCCCTTCCCTTGCCTCCATGTAATCATCAAGTCCTTCATTGTCGGTGAAAAACCGTGCACGCTGCGTCAAATAAGAGTTTTCGGATTCCACATTGGCGAAGCTAAAGCACTTGGTGAACCTTAATTTGGTGATGGCCGACTTTTCCAGACCGACTAGCTGCTTGGAGACGTCTTTAACGCCACAGTGCCCGTAATCAAACTCGGCTTCAGCTACATGTGTGTTGACTCTCTCGTGGTACACTTGCGTGGTTGTGTACGCGTCTCCATTGCGGTAGCGCGTGACTTGCCGTGTCCGACGTACATAATGATAACTAATGGCCTTCCACCAGATGCAAGGCTTGGCTTGTTGCATCCTCTGATTCCTTTCGTAAATCCCCTCGGTGTGCACTTTATACTGAAGCTCGTTTCTGGCATGGCAGTGCCAGCACTCCACCAGGTAAACCACGTACAGCATGATGAGGAAGGCTAGAGGGATGTAGATGTAGCCGTCTGAGCAGGGACTGTCGTGGTACATCATGGACTTCTTCTTGTAGGCGCTGTCGAAGGTCAGGCGGGTGACTTTGGTGACGTGGCACCACACCATGGCGCCCATACAGCCGTACATGAGCATGGACAGCAGCAGGCATTTCCAGAACACCTCTCTGCACATGGACTTGCTCAGCGACTGCTTCACGGGCCTCTGCTGCTCGGCCATCATGAAAGACAACAACAGAGATTATGAGTTAACATTAGGAAATGGTGTAATTGTATTATTATGTTGCAATTATTAAGATTCACGCATGTTGTTGGTGTTTTAAAGGGATAATTCACCTCAAAATGCACATTTACACACATTTTTATGAGTTTCTTTTATTTCTGTCAAAACATTCATTGGATCTTGGATTGTTTGTTTTCCTTTTTTTCTAGTCTGTGGTGAATAGTGATGGGTCGTTCATTTTGAACGAATCTTCAATATGACTCGGGAACTACGAGTCCTCTCAGGGAGTGATTCGTTCAATCGCGCGTGCGCACATTTTTGCAGGTGGTATCGTTCATTTCAAGTCTTCATCACATTGGCAGAAGCCAATCATATGCGTTTAGAGCCGGAAAAAGAATTGATCCGCTCACCTCTCGAGTCCTCTATCGGGTCTGAGTCACTCGTTCATCCTGAGCCAATTATACGCGTTTAGAGCCGAAAAAGTTTTGATCCGCTCATCTCTCGAGTCCTCTATCAGGTTTGAGTCATTCGTTCCTCACGGGCCAATCATACACGTTTAAAGCCGGGAAAAGAATTGAACCGTTCATCTCTCGAGTCCTCGGGTTTGAGTCATTCTGTCACGTGATGAACAAACGGTCATGGCTCCTATCAGCTTAGACTGTGTACATTGATTAAGATTTTATGTGACTGTCAGTGTAACGTGAACGAACCACTGACATTTGAAGACATGAAGAGGTGAGCTGAGCAAAGAGACAACAATACCTTCATAGACAAAAGAGCAGGTAAACATTGAATTATTATTTTCTCCTTCTTATATTCTATTTATGACTTATTTGTCATGTGATCAAACTTTTGGGCTATTTGTAGATGTGTTTGGAAGCAATTCGTAACATTTTAATAATATTTTGGCAAATTGAACCAAATGATCGAAATGACTCGAAAAAAGATTCGTTCATCTTGATGAACGAGACTCAAAGATCCGAGTCAGTAAAATGATCCCAACTTCCCATCACTAGTGGTGAATGACTTCAGTGTAATAGTCCATTTTTTTTAAATACCTAATTATTCTTAAATCAAGAAGCATTTTTTAGAAACTTTTTAACTTTTCACCCCCCAAAATAACAATGCCAGTGACTCTTGACCCTCACTATCCTCTTAGGTGGAGACGTCCACTCGGTGAACATCCTTCATGTTCAGTCGTGGCCTGTATTTATTTTTAATGGTTAATCTGGTGCCATAGAATCAGTCCTCTGCATCTGATTATTGCTGTGTTTTTAATATAATCTAATCTCCCCTGGGGCTGTAATCGAATGGAAATAAAATCGAAAGGCTGACAACTTTTTATTTACATGTTGTTTTTAATGTAACTATTAACTGCTATTTTTATCTTCTGTTGGTTATGAATGAAATATGTAAATTCTAATAATAAAATAGATTGTTGCAAATCACCAAGCGACACTCCCATAGCCCCCTCTCGCCACCCCATTATCCTACAACCCCTACCCCTACTATGGAAACCACTATTCTAGACCAGCAAAAAATATTGTCTTGTGTTATAAAATAATAAGCCAAAAGACAAAATTAAGTGAGTTTTTCTTAATTTAAAAAACAGGCAAAACAAAGGATGGATGGATGGATGGATGGATGGAGATAGATAGATAGATAGATAGATAGATAGATAGATAGATAGATGGATGGATGGATGGATGGATGGATGGATGGATGGATGGATGGATGGATGGATGGATGGATGGATGGATGGATGGATGGATGGATGGATGGATGGATGGATGGATGGATGGATGGATGGATGGATGGAAACAAGCAGAGGATTAGTACTTTTTATATTTGGATGAATTAACCCTTCTTAATATACACAAATGCATGCTTGTTAATATTTATGCAATGTCACATTGTAATTGTACCAAGAAAAGCAACGTTTTATAACTAGTGGTTGACCAATATACTTATTATACAGTAAATGTATAATAAGATAGATGTAGATGGCTCAGCTGTTGCTTAAATACATTATTATTATTATTAAATATTTTAATTTATTGCTGGGTTCCACACATTTTCTTCAGGTTGTCCCAATATAAATAAAATTAATTAAATGAAGTTAAATTAATTGTTTTAAGAAATTTAAGTGGATTGAACATAAAATAATTAAGTTGACAACTTTTAACCACCACTCCCTCAAAAAACAACAACAACAACAACACAAGAATTGTGTCATTGTGAGGCAGTACCTTTTCAAAATATACATATTTTTATCTTAAAGATTCAATTTTGTACTTTTTAGTTATTATGATGTACATTTAAGTTCAAATGTGGACACAATTATACCTTTTAAAAGTATGCCATGCCAGTGACAGGTTTTGTACAGTGTGGGGCTGCACAATCAGTGGCGGATTTAGGCATGGGCAATATGTGCGATCACTAGGCCCACCCGGAATCTGCACGCACAGAATTGTGCAGATTTTCCGCAGATTTTTAGCCAATCATTAATTCTATATATTTACTTGAGTGAATGTGTGTAAATCTATATTTATTCAGTTTTTTAAATTAATTTTAGTAATATTATTGCCTAATGTGAAAATGTTCATCTGATTTATGTGCAATGCAGTTTGTACAGTAATATTTTTTCTTTACTATATTTTATATGTCAAACTTGCTTTGTTTACCAAATAAAGTAAATCGAATTGGATTTGCATTTTAAACATTAAATTAAAGTTAAAAGATATTATTTTTTATTTCATATATTAAGGTTTTAGTTATGATACTCCCAAAATAATTCCGCAGAAATCTGCAGATTTCTACCAAAATTCTCAGAAAAAATAGCAAAAAACATCTGCAGATTCCCTCTAGCGATCACCCAGGGCAGCATCTTGCTGGGGGCGGCAAGGGGAGATTGGGCAAAAAAAGGTGTCTTTACATTGTTTTTCAGTTACATTTATTGATTTCTGCAAATTTATTTAGAATTATAATTGTATAATAATAAACAAATTGTTATATTTATCGAAAATAAATATGTTTACATTTATTTATAATAATTCATTTAAATGTATATATTTAAAATGTATATTAAAATATTTAATATATTTATAAAGTCAATGTTATGTCTTTATTTCTTGGTGGGTGGGGAGCAGGGTCTGTTTGGGGTGGTTTTGCCCAAGGTGCTATTTAAACTAGAACCGCCACTGTGCACAAAATATCATTTCCGCATCGCTATTGCAATGTGCACATCCGCAATAGTCACATCACAAAGATATGCAATGTCCAGTCTGAATTATAGTGGACCAGGAACTACAGAATTGTATTTAATCAATGTATTTATATTAAATTTATATGGTTCTCTTTATTCCAGGCACTAAGTCCAATAGTACAAACAAACAAAACAATACAAAGTCAAACCAACAAAACAATACAAACCACACAATATAGGCTACCTTAAAATAGACAGCTATGCCAATATTTCATTATAGGTGATTGAAAATGTACCTCAGTAAGCCTTGGTTTTATCAATAACTTTAAAATGCTATAAATAACTTTAATATGATTTACGCAAAAAAAAAAAAATCTTAGAATTTTTGTCTTGTTTCTAGTCCAAGTATCTACTTTTAAAAGCGAAAACAAGATTATTTCAGTCACCACTCACAGATAATTTCCTTTAAACAAGCAAAAGTTTCACTATATCTTTTGACAGTGAAAATTAAACAATATTTTTTCTTGGTCTAAGAATTATTTTAGATATTTGGACTAGAAACAAGAAAAAAACAAAGCAAGAAAGCTTTTTTTTTTTTTTTTTTTGCATTGTAATTGTTCAATTCCTGTACCTGAATACTGTTAGAGTATACTGTCAAATAGAGCAAATAAATTCAAATCATCTTCTAAAACCATATTCATATCCCAATATTTATTGCAAAAAAAAAAAAAAAGTATCGCAATATCAGATTTTTAAAAGCGGCTATAAAGTGTAAAAAACATCTATAAATTTGCATTTTCTGATTCATGTTTTTATTTTTCCCTTTCTATTTCTGCTTTTCAATTGCATTATGGGATCTTCCAATAACCTTTAACCTTGAAAAGGTGGAAAAAAGGGAGTTTTTTTAACATTTGTAATAGTTTAAAGTGATATATTGTCTGGGTAGCATATTATAAAAACATTGTAATAAGCAATAGTACAAATACAATGTTGTTTTTATTAATGTTTAGTAGACATTTTATGTTATTTTACAGGCTTATTTCTTACATATTATATTATTTCAAACTACTAAAATGTCAATAAAAGTTTACTTTAGACAGAGAGTCGACAGAGAAAAGACTAAGCTCCAATATAATGCAATTCAAAGCCGTAAATAGGAAAACGCAAAATACGGAAACTGTTTTTTAACAGATATATATATATATTTTTTTTAACAGTGTACCTTTATTTCTGAGAGTCATTTCTAATGCAATGTCATGCATTCTTAAATGTTTACGCTTAATAATATTAATAATAATGACTGTTCATATTGTCCGCCTGCACATGCATTCTCACTCACTGCGGTGATGTTTACACACACCCGCGCGCGTGTCCGTGACGCGCACATGATATGCACATGCACGCTCATGCTTACAAAGCAGATTTTTAGCTTTAATATTCCCACATGGCGATGAAAAGAGCGTGAGTAATAACCAAATACCTCCTCTCGGGCTCCATCTGTGTCTTCCTCGAGCGCAGTGGTGGTGCTGCTCTCACTGGCTGTCGCAGCGGATGCTGGAGGGGACATGCTGGAACAATGACGGGGTGTGGACACCTCAATCTCTCCCCACACTCCAGCGTGCAGCAGTTGCAAACACACAGCGATCTCACTAATTCTGACCCGTCTCTCTGTCTCTTCCCTCGTGCATTTTGAAATTGAATTTCATCGCGTAATCCTGTTTGCAGAAATAAAAAAGCCTGATTTGATTAGGTAATTCGTGCACGCGCGTGCATATTCGAAATTAAAGTTCAGTAATAAAGATGAGCAGTTTTGTTTAGATATGCGTAAATGGTGATGTTAGAATAGCATTAACGCATGCATTTTGGAATTGAAATTCATCGCTTAATCCCGTTTGCAGAAACACCTGCGTTTTAATTAGCATGCATATGCATATTCAAAATACTAGTAGCAAAGATGAGCAGTTTGATTTAGATATGCGTAAGTAAATGATCATGTTAGAACAGCGCAGAAACGCATGCATTGAAAATCTGGTTTGCGGAGCGTCTGATTAGCCGCCATACCTCATGCGCGCGACACTGAGACGCCTTTCTGACGCCATTAAAGCGCGATTGTGGCTTTATGACGATCAAATTTGGTCCTTTGGCGAGGATTTTGCAAATCCAAATTGTAAATGTTTAGAGCTGGATTTTGCCGTTCCCGCAGGGAGAGGTTGAGGGTGGGGAGGAGAATGAGGATGATGGAGGTGCTGGTGCTCGGTGGAGGAGATCCTGACAGCAGATGTCGACAACATTCACATTCATTCACACATGCGATCTAATAAATCATATTTCTTTCTTTCTTTCTTTCTTTCTTTCTTTCTTTCTTTCTTTCTTTCTTTCTTTCTTTCTTTCTTTCTTTCTTTTTAAACAGATGTAAAAATAATAACAATAATAAATAATTCTATCAAATTTAACACAATAAAGACAATAACCTTGGGTTTTATTTTAAAATAATGGTCTATTAGTTAATTTTAGTGTTCAATTATTCATTCTTTTATTTTATTTTCGGATAAAATCAGGGGTCGCCACAGCGGAATGAACCGACAACTTTTCCAGCATATGTTTTAATAATCCATTAATGTTGGTATTCATTCATTCATTCGTTTAATTTAATTTCAGCATAGTCCCGTTATTAATCAGGGGTCACCACAGTGGAATGAACCACCAACTTATCCAGCATATGTTTTAATGATCCATTAATGTTAGTATTCATTCATTCATTTGTTTAATTTAATTTCAACATAGTCCCCTTATTAATCAGGGGTCTGCACAGTGGAATGAGCCGCCAACTTATCCAGCATATGTTTTAATGATCCATTAGTTAATGTTAGTATTCATTCATTCATTCATTCATTCATTTTCTTTTCGGCTTAGTCCCTTTAATAATCAGGGGTCGCCAAAGTGGAATGAACCACCAACTTATCCAGCATATGTTTTAATGATCCATTAGTTAATGTTAGTATTCATTCATTCATTCATTCATTCATTTTCTTTTCGGCTTAGTCCCTTTAATAATCAGGGGTCGCCAAAGTGGAATGAACCACCAACTTTTCCAGCATATGTTTTAATGACCCATTAATATTAGTATTCATTCATTCATTTAATTTAATTTCAGCATAGTTCCCTTATTAATCAGGGGTCACCACAGTGGAATGAACCGCCAACTTATCCAGCATATGTTTTAATGATTCATTAGTTAATGTTAGTATTTTTTAATTCATTCAATTATTCATTCATTCATTTTCTTTTCCGCTTAGTCCCGTTATTAATCAGGGGTCGCCACAGTGGAATGAATCGCCAACTTATCCAGCATATGTTTTATTGATCCATTAGTTAATGTTTTTATCCATTCATTAATTCATTAATTAATTAATTAATTCATTCATTCATTCATTCGTTCATTCATTTTCTTTTCGGCTTAGTCCCTTTAATAATCAGGGGTCGCCAAAGTGGAATGAACTGCCAACTTATCCAGCATATGTTTTAATGATCCATTAATGTTAGTATTCATTCATTCATTTGTTTAATTTAATTTCAACATAGTCCCCTTATTAATCAGGGGTCACCCCAGTGGAATGAACCGCCAACTTATCCAGCATATGTTTTAGTGATCCATTAGTTAATGTTAGTATTCATTCATTCATTTTCTTTTCGGTTTAGTCCCGTTATTAATCAAGTGTCGCCACAGTGGAATGAACCACCTACTTATCCAGCATATGTTTTAATGATCCATTAGTTAATGTTAGTATTCATTCATTCATTTATTCATTCATTTTCTTTTCGGCTTAGTCCCTTTAATAATCAGGGGTCGCCAAAGTGGAATGAACCGCCAACTTATCCAGCATATGTTTTAATGATCCATTAATGTTAGTATTCATTCATTCATTCGTTTAATTTAATATTAGCATAGTCCCCTTATTAATCAGGGGTCACCACAGTGGAATGAACCTCCAAATTATCCAGGATATGTTTTAATGATCCATTAATAAATGTTTGTATTTATTCATTCATTCATGTATTTTCTTTTCGCCTTAGTCCCGTTATTAATCAGGAGTCACCACAGCAGAATGAACCACCAACTTATTCAGCTTGTTTTAATGATCCATTAGTTAATGTTAGTATTCATTCATTCATTCATTCATTCATTCATTCATTCATTCATTTTCTTTTCGGCTTAGTCCCTTTATTAATCAGAGATTGCCACAGTGGAATGAACCGGCAACTTATTCAGCATATGTTTTAATAATCCATTAGTTAAATGTAGGTATTCATTCATTCATTTTCTTTTCGCCTTAGTCCCTTGCAGGGGTCGCCACAACGGAATGAATTGCCAACTTATCCAGCATATGTTTTACGCAGCGAATGCCCTTCCAGCTGCAACCCAACACTAGAAAACACCCATAAATTCTTGCATTCACACTCATACACTACAGCCAATTTAGTTAATCAATTGCCCTATAGCACATGTGTTCAGACTGTGGGGGAAACCGGAGCACCCGGAGGAAACCCACTCTGATTGCACTCTGATGAAATACGTGCTCACTCCAGTTACCGGCGACAACAGCAATGGAAGGCTTTTATAAATGCACACAGTTCATTCACTTAATGATTTTAAAGCAATGTGTTTACTCATTTTTTAAGTTAAGTCAGCTAATCATTTTAAAAGCAATGGGTTTACTCACTTTAAAAAAGTCAACTAATTGCTTATACTGAGTGACGTGATCCAAATTTTATATCATATTATTTTAGTGACCATATTTTCCCTTAATAAAAGCCTCTGTGATTTATCAGTGTAACTTTTTTAAAGTGTTACATAAAAATAATATAATGCCATTTTTTTCTATATTACAGTGAATGTGAAGGTCTTGGTTTGTTAAATGGCATGCCTTGATTGCAACATAATAAATCGCATTGGATAAAACATGTGAATGCATGTGAATATACTGTAAAATGATTGACAGCTGTCATTTTGACACATTTCAGATTCAGCTTCATGGACAGCGACTTGTTGAGAAAACAGAACACTGAAACAGATGCAAGTGAGGTTGAAAATCTACCAAATATCATCATTTATATCCTAAAGAAAAGGAGGAACAAGTCGAGGGTGAGTAAATCTCTCTCTCTCTCTCTCTCTCTCTCTCTCTCTCTCTCTCCTCTCTCTCTCTCTCTCTCTCTTTCTCATCTATACTTACAGTTCTTTTACTGTAAATACTAAAAATATAAAGTCTAATAATTAATAATAAATGTCTGAAAATTACTTTTAAATCATTTTATGAATAAACTGTATGTTTTGAATATTATATGCTGATAATAAAATAATGTGAAATGATTAAATATGTATTTTTTATCAAAATAAATAAAAGGGAAATTTACACGAATAAAAAAAGCTTAGAAAATACATATAAATACAAAATTCATTGATGTGCAAATGAATATGCAATGCAATGCTATTGTTATTTTTATGATATATTATTTATATATTTATTTTATTTATTTATTAAATATATATGCAAGAAAATATTACAATAGTTTATGATTGTCAACGCTCATATTTCGGGGTTTGCTGCATTTATTAGATGGAAAAGAAATTGTGGGGATTACTGTGTGCCAAGGCACATAGTAAGCATGTGGCGCAGTGGTTAGCACAATCGCCTCACAGCAGGAAGGTCGCTGGTTCGAGCCTTGGCTGGGTCAGTTGGCATTTCTGTGTGGAGTTTGCATGTTCTCCCTGCGTTCGCGTGGGTTTCCTCTGGGTGTTCCGGTTTCCCCCACAGTCCAAAGACATGCGGTACAGGTGAATTGGGTAGGCTAAATTGTCCATAGTGTATGTGTGTGTGTAAATGTGTGTGTGGATGTTTCCCAGAGATGGGTTGTGGCTGGAAGGGCATCCACTGCGTAAAAATCTTGCTGGATAAGTTGGCGGTTCATTCCGCTGTGGCGACCCCGGATTAATAAAGGGACTAAGCCGACAAGAAAATGAATGAACGAATAATTAATAATAAGAAAAAATCTAAAAATTATTTATAAATTATTTTATTAGTAAACTATATATTTTAAATAATAGGCTGAGAATGAAATAATGTGAAATGACTAAACAAGATAAATATGTCTTTTTTAAATCAAAAAACATAATCAAAGAAAATCACTTTTACTGTCACATCAGCAGCAGCACGTGTGCTATGATGAGGGAAAAGCTTAGGTGCTGCCTCCAGACAGTACAATATACAACTGCAAATACAATGACGGTGCAAAATACAGACAGTACAAATAAAATGACAGAGCAAAATACAGACAGTGCAAATACAATGACAGTGCAAAAATAGACAGTACAAAATACAACAGCATACCCCCCCCAAAAAAATAAAATAAAAATAAATAAATTAAATAATAATAATAAATAATAAAAATTATAAATAATAAAAAAACAGGACAATGTAAAATTGACAGCGATATGTACAATGAATAGATGTACACGTAGTTGTAGGCAGTAAAAGGAAAATCCAAACAAATAAATACAAACTTAAATAATAAAAACAAAAATGTACCATTGTACATATATACCAATAAATAAATAAATATATGTAAATGTAGCTCAAAAAGAAAAATATTTTTCAAAAAGTTGGTGTTGTTAATGTTATTTATTTTATTTAATATTTTTTATTTAAAAATATTTATATTGGGTCTTTACAGGATATTACACAGATTTCTTTGATATTTTATTATTGATATTTGTCATATTTTGGGGTCTGCGGCATATTGAGATTTTTTGGCGAGGGGGGAATACAGGTCTTGAAGAGTTACCCATTTTGTAAAATCTACATGTAATTCTCTAAATGTCCACAAGATAGCGCTGTAGTCTTTCCGTTTTTGTCAGCCTCTAGATTTTGCGCGTTTTTTTCCCTCTAAAGATGATTGTTTTTCTCTTAAAACAGTATGTTATTTCTAAAATAGCATGTAGATATTTTATTTGTGTTGCATTACACATTCAATCTGGGCACCCACATCTATTTACATGTGCACAGAAAAAAATTAAATGCAGATGTTTTAAATCTCCATGTATATTTTCAAGTCAAGCTTGCAGGACAAAAGTGGTATAATCTATCATAAACACAAACACAACACTGGAGATAAGAGCTTAAAAAAAAAAAAAAAAAACATGCATAACTAACATACAGCCTACTGTAAAAACACTTTACTATACATATAAGACAGGCTAAGTACTTTTACATGAGGCTGAACTATGTTGTG